TTTGCCCTTGTACACTGAACTCACTAAGCCCATTGACGAATTTTGTACAGTAGACAAGTCCATAACTCTGTGCATAACCACTTGGTCCGCACGGTGCTTTTGCTTCCATACACTTAAGATAGAAATCAAAACTTTTCATTGGTGGATTTTGGCAGCTTGGTGAACACATTGGATCTAATTTCCATATATCATAATTCTCCTTACACTCATCACATACATCTGACCCATATTGATCAACATTCAATCGTGATTGAAATGCAGCATCCGCAACATTTGAAACACCGATATCAATTTGAATCGATTCTGGTTCTTGTCTGACGGGCATCGTTAGATTAGTTTTAGCTGCTGCACAAGACGAGTAGTCAAAATCACTCAAATCAAGACTGTTCATACTCTACGTTATTGTCTGATAATCACCTGTGCTGGAAGGAACAGTGACACTGAAATAGTCTTTGTACTGTGTTCCAAAGTAACCGCCTGGTACTTCTGAGGTTACGAATTGATATTCAACATAGATCTCAGTGGAATTTGATTCGCCCATGAAGGAACCTGATTGTGTCTGTAGTGTTACTTTCATTCCATGTTGGATTCCATTTAATTTATCTAATTCTAATTAATATTCTATCCACCCTCACACTTAACACATGTAAAACAGATTATCCTACTTACCGAAAGAAAACTAACCACCCTACACACACTCAGAAGAAAAGACCATGGCTTTCTAAAATGAAAAGCCCGATGAAGCACAGCTTTTCGACCGGCGAATATCGGTTTTTCTTATACTCTAACCGCTATGTTAACTTTACTTTCTATCATCATAAGGGTTTTTGCTATAAAGATAAAAGTCAGCAATATTTGCTGTGCCTTTGATTAATGGAAGCTTTAATTATTGCGGCTTTTAGTTATTGCTTTGAGCAGCTATGTGTTTCTGCGTGTCTCCATATGTCTATCACATCTTTTTGCTCTCGTTCTGTCTTACTTTTATCGTCTTCCCTGCAGTTGTTGCGCACAGTAGACTGCAAACGTGTAAGTTGCTTTACTTCTGTCCTTTGTAAATTAGTTATCTGTCACTACTTATAAAGGTGTAATTGCTCAACGGGAATATGTTACCAAAATAATACTAGCCTGTTAGATGAAGGAAAAAGATGAGCCGCGATCTTGTGTCAAACAATGTCAAACTCACTGCTAATGAGCCTGAAGCATAAGCATCGGTCTTTCGGG